CCCTTCCCTTACTCCCTCCCTTTCCTCCCCTCCCTCGATCTTCCGTCCCTTTGCTCTGCCGACTTGTTCTGGTTCTGACGTCTTTCTAGCCCACCAAGGCCCTCCAGCAGTGCATCAAGGAACTTTGCCAGAAGTGAGGAGGATAGAAAGGAACGAGAAGATAGAGCGAGAGGAGGAGGAGGAGGAGGAGGAGGAGGAGGAGCGAGGTAAGAGGCAAGGAAGAAAGGAGCTGTGAAGGGGAACATTTATAGATTGAAGATACAAACATGGAGCGCGAGGAGGACGAGGAGGATGTTGAAGCGCAGGGAGGGAGCGGCGGAAGTCTGTGGGGTTGAGTGTCAGCTGTCGAGACCGGAGAGGAGGGAGGGGGGAGAACAGAGGAGGAGGTGGTGGAAGGAGGAGAGGGAGGGGAACAGGGAGGGGGCAGGAGAGGACGTCTGCAGCATTGGGAAGACAAGGAGGGAGCGAGGAGGAAGGGGGAGAGGAGGAGATGATATCACCTCTCCCGTGAGGTACTGGAGGAAGGGGTTGGGGTTGCCGTTGAAGTTTGGGTTGTTGCTCTGCTGGTACCTGCGCGGATTCTCAAGACGAGAGAGGAAGAAGAATGAACGATCCACATCGAGGAACAGAGGGCAGGAGCATGAGCATGAGCAGCAGGCAGTGGGTAGCGGGCAGGAGGAGGCGAAGGAGCACGATGGAGGAGGAGAGGGGGAGGGGGAGGGGGAGGAGGGGCAGTCAGAACTTACTGCGAGAAGATTTTGAAGGGGACGAACTGAGAGGATTCTCTCTTCCCTACCACACCTGCAGCCCTCCAGTATCATCTAGAGGAAGTGAAAGGAGGAGAAGGAGGAGCAGATGAGGACGGTGATCAGCGTGGAAAGAAAGTTCGCCAAGGGCGTTGAAAGGAGGGAAAGAGGAGCAGGAGCAGGAGCAGGAGCAGGAGCAGGAGCAGGAGCAGGAGCAGGAGCAGGAGCAGGAGCAGGAGAAGATCACTTACCAACCCAGAAGTAGCTCATGTAAGGTCCCTTGTAAATTTCAACCTCATAGTTCCACTTGCATGTATCAACTCTGAGCAGAATCTGTTAGGGTGGAGGAAGTGGGAAGGAGTCGGGAGGGAGGAAGAGAGAGGAGGAAGAGAGAGGAGGAAGAAAGAGGAGGAGCGGGGGAAAGAGGAGGAGCGGGGGAAAGAGGAGAGGGACGAGGACGAGGACGATGATGACAAGCGAATTTTCTTGTCCTCACAATTCTGGGTTGCTGCATCTACTTGTGTCTCGGACTGCTTTTCCTGAAACGGAGTTGGTTGTGTCCTGCAACAAGATCGTAAGAAGTTTGCTGCCCCTGCCCCTGCCCCTGCCCCTGCCCCTGCCCCTGCCCCTGCCCCTGCCCCTGCCCCTGCCCCTGCCCCTGCCCCTGCCCCTGCCCCTGCCGCCTCTCATCTGACTAGATCCTTCCCCCCTCCCTCTGGTCCTCTTCTTCTACCATGAGCCATGTCGGCATTGGCGGCGTGTCGATGACGCTTATCGGTGTATATGTCTGACGAACCCAAATCTGAGGAGGAGAAGGAGGAGGAGGAGGAGGAGGAGGAGGAGGAGGAG